GACACTGTCGTCCGCTCTCATTAGGCCGCAGTGAAAAGAGGTGAGGCGCAATCGGGTCTGCAGCTGCAGCGGCTGCCACCTCCGCTGCAGGGTGCATCGCCGCTTCGCAGCCAGACTTGTACCGACACAGTGCACACAAATGAGTGTTTACAGCTATTGCAAGATGCCCGCTTCGAGTTATAGCTCATAGAAGAAGAAAAAACAAAACATTTAATAGATAATAACAGGGTAGGGGACTGAAGATGCACAGTTGTGCACATTTGCCCCGGATATGTCAAACGTGAATTATATGTTGTAAAAGGAGAGGATTAACTGTGCCGTTTTGAGGGAACAGCTCGGTTTTTGAAGCCTGGAATTTGATGTATCTCAGGGATCCACCCAGTTAGCTCCACGTCTGCGGGTTTACGGCTCTCGTTAGTGCCCACGTCAATATCACCATCGAGCTCAAGCTCTTTTTGGATTCCCAAATGACGGCAATCCTATAGCATCTCGACCAATAAATACGGCAAACCCAAAGCTTTGAGAGTCTTGGATGCTGTCAACTTTTGTCATTTTCGGGTGATATTTTTTAACATTCGAAGAAACTGTTTCCGACCATGGCCAGATGTAGCGTGACGCCTGAGCCAAACCACTGGTAGTAAAAACATAACAGAAACTGGCATTATGTAGAGAACTCATACTGAAAAATCTAGCTCTTGTCATTCATCACATCAGCAGCCCCATCGGTAAAATTGGCGTTACATTTTAAGGACGGGGGAGCGAGGCACTCTTCATGCCCGGCCCTGCACATCACAATGTCCTGTTTGCCATGAAAATCCAAACAACAATAGCAACATCTCAATCTGCTCCGATGTGAAAGCAGCCTGTGTCTGTTATAAGATTATTTTCGGAGGAACGCACGAACGAGGAGCGAGCCGCTCGTAAATCTGAGCGCGACACGTAGTGCGCCTCCGATGCAGACATGTGGTGGCTGCTGAGTACGTGCAGTGTCACGGGGCCAAATGCAGCAGCACAGAGAATCTGAATTGTGCATTGCCAAGGAAGACACGTAAACGTCCTGGATGCTGATTCTGACTTTTTTGAAGCTTTTAGGTTTTTCTGTTTGTGCATTTTGACATCAAAGTACATTTGCGACTTGTTGTATAGACAATGACAGAAAATCAATCACTATAAACATCAATTGTCTGGCAAGTACTCATGCACTTCACGTTATATAAATAAATAACGGCTCACGATGAATGCTAACATCCAGATTGGTGGGATGAGGGGAGAGGTTGCAGCACACGGCGAGAAAGATGACATTCTGACAATAAAAGGTTGCAGCGTTTGAATTGTATGGTTTAACTTTTGTGAAACTAATCAAAGACTTGAACCGAAAGATAAACGTCTGCAATGGTACGTTCAAAGTAAAGGAGACTTGCATTATAAGCTGCTTTTTGGAACCCGGATGGCTCCAAATGCCATTCAGACTGAGATAACTTTCTAAAAGTATGAAACTCACATATTACATGGGATAGGCCTCGGCAAATCACACACGGCATCTGCTGTGACTTTGCAACTTGGAAAGAAAAAGAAAAAGGCACCTCACAGCTTTCTTACTCTCACTTGCTGTTTATGACGCTCTTCGGATTTGAACCTCTGCTGAGTTACGATTTGGACCGTTCCCGCAACTCCAGAAGTGTCCAACTATGGAGGCTGTATCTTGGCAACTCCCATAAAGAAAAAAACCTTAGCGCATGTGTGGTTCAACTGTAGCAGGGATTTGAACCATGAGCCTGAAAGGCAGTAAAGTAACTGTCGTGAACCGAACCCGAGGAAGAGGTAACTTACATCACGAGAAGCATTGCACCGTGCAGCTTTTTAGATTACACACAATTCTCTGCAAATGAGCTGCTCGACCACCCGACGTCTGTCGCTGCAGAGATGCTCTGAAGGGCCCTGACTGTTGTTGACGGACACTGTCGGCTAATGGGCCTTTACTCAGTAGCACAGAATCCATCAAGATAAGCCTTGGGACCGCCATTGAACCATGCCACGCCACAGGGTTTTAAAGTCGCTCGGCAGCTTGCGTATACCCATCCCACTCACGCTGCCAATCAGATTCAGTTTTCTTTTTCTTTTTTACCGCATCGGTTTGCGTCATAATTCATCTGCTGAAGTAAGTGATGCCACTGCTTCATCTTTGAGCTCGCAGGGGCGCGTCCGCCAAGCCGCAGCCGACGCCGGCGAGCTACTGTAGGCAAAGAAAACACAGCTATTACTTTCCCCCCCCCCGCTCCCGGCGCAGTGTGCTCCCGCTCGCCCCACAGCCTGCTCACCCGCCGAAGCCAGTCTGCTTCTGATTATGTGCGATCATCCTCAAGCTTGCCAGCTCCATTTCAGACTCGCGGGAGTCATTTTTCTTATTTCATTCTGGCCCGTTTTCAAAAGGAATTACACCGTAGCTTGTCTAAGCCGTTGTTAATTGTGCTCAAGCAGCTACCAGCACTCTCACTCACGGCATTACTTGTTATGTGGAGTTTCTGTCATTATCATTTACATACCACATAATGGAGGCTGTATATTCTGCGCTTTGCACTTGCCAAAAGACACACATTCAACGGGAACCGCTCACCCGACTGTGTTCCTTTTTAAATGTTTCATCATTATAACACATTATCATTACAAACGAAAACTGCATTTATAAACGTAGGCTGTCGTTAATCGGCCAACTGTTACTATGAGGAAAGCCATTTGCAGCACCAACACAAACATTTTAAGGCCTAGCAATACAATGTGTGTGTTTTATCAATTACTATAACATGTGTCGTGTCTAACGACACCTCTTTGAGTTGTGACCTTTACCTTTCCTATGATTCCATCGGTTAATAACCCCAGAAAATAACAACAAAGTCATATAATGGAACTTTAATTTAATAATGGGTTATATGAGTAAGTAAACTGAAGCGTGAACCTCAGTATTCTTCCTTAGCGCAGGAATTATGCCCGCAGATTAACGGGGTACTGACCTGATACAAAGCGTTGGAAAGCTGAGATGAGGAACACGGTGTGTTTGTTCCCTCCGTGGTTCGGGATACTTGGTTTGGGCAAAACTGTGAAACTGAAATTGAATAGCATTTGCGTTTTGATTTTTTGCTGAATGTTTGAATAGTGTGAGTGATTATATAATAACACCATCTGCCCCAACGAGGAAGGACAGTATGTTCATATCAGTAGAAGTGTACTGAAATATGATATTGTGTTGTTGAGGAGACCCCCCCCTCTTCCACCCCTTCCTCTGTAGGGAAGTGCAGGTCAGGGTCAGCTTCTGAAAAACACGGAGGAATAGTATCCTAATTATGTACAGTAACTATCACTGAGCTGTGGTAGGTTTATGTAGCAGGTAAACTGTATGCTGGTCAGCTTTGTTGGTCATTAAAGTGAACAATATACTAACGATCATAAACTTTCACTCCTTAATTAACATTGAAGCCACACTTTCACAATCTAAAACTCACACAACTGGGCACAACTGGCCCACCTTAATCTGCCCAGGAAAAATGAAACCTACATCTTTAGATACACAACTGAAAATAAAAGGATGTTAGAATTGTAGGATATTAGAAACAAATATACGACCCGGTTCATAAAGTTAATAAAAATGCATATAGTGTACACCAGAATACAGCCATGATTCTGAAACTGTGTAATCAATAAAGTAATGACAATATTGTAAAACCACTAATTCTGCAACTGTAATAGAATAATACCAATGCAGTTATGATTGTATTTGATATAATGTAATCAACTGGAATGCATGCATGTAATACTTGAACAACAACTGATATTGACTAAGGGTCAATCGAAATCCGAGTTACATTGAACTCACCAGAAGACCACTCCCAGAGGTGTGGACACTGACTTTCACACCTTTAAGCATTGGTATAAATACCTGTAGGAACCATTGTTCTGGAGTTCGCTGGTGGAGGCGACAGACGGGCCCTAGGGATGGTCAAAGGACTGACCTGGGGCCTGTTGGTTGATGAGACCAGCGGCTCCTCAGCTGAGATGTTCTTTTTACCACAACACCATCTCTTTTATTAAATACATTTGATTCTAACCTTTTGATCTGCGATGACCTCTGTCCGTCCGGCCTCATTTTTGAATGCAACAGAATGCATAATCTAAGACAAGGTTTATAGGTTCAGTTTGTGAAAGTTCATTGGAATGGACTTAAGCCAATTATGTAAAACACAAAAACCCGATTGCGACTCAAGTGTAAACTTTCGTTCTTATTATTTTTTTGTTTTGTTTTCATGTCAGTCGCCCACACCCACACCCGCACGCACGCACGCACACACACACACGCGCGCGCATGCACGCGCGCGCACACATCTTAAACACACCTCCCACCTCCACCGATGGGATCCCGCTGCAGAAGACATCGGTTTGCAGGAGCCGGTCGCGTCATCCGTGGATGGGCGGCGCACCGACGGGAGCACGCAGGGTGTTTTCCAGCTTTAAAAGCACGGGAGCCGGCCCCTGTGACAAACCGCTCTCTGCGTCATCCACCCGGGGAGACTCATCAGGGCTGTGAGAGTCAAACTCACCTCATCCGCGCTCGCCCTCTGCAGCAGCCCTACCTGCGCGCCTCGCTCCTCTCCGCCCCCGACCGGCACCAGACTTCTTCTCCAGCGCGCGCGCCGCCGCCGCTCGCAAGTTGTGCGCCCCGGCCGCGAGCGATGCGTTCATTTCACGGTGCGTGAAGTGATTCAGCTCCTCGCGAAAGTGTCGGTTCGGCGTTGCTGGTTTTCAGCCTTTCTCCTTATCCGGAGAAAGTTGCGCGCATCGCTTGTTGAATGCAGGATACCTTCTGCCCGCGCGTCATTTCCAAGTTCAGCTTCGGAGCAGCAGCCGGTAAGGAGCGGGGACTCCAGCTTCTCAGCTTTCTCGCCGCCGACATGAAGTCTGCAGAAGAAGGTAACGTCAATCCACGTTTCAAACAGCGTATTTACACTTTACACTTACGCGCTGTCGATATTAGTGAAAAGTAATTCTTGTGAATTGCAAATGAATTGTTTTTGTTTTATTCCACGATTAAGGTTCATGCAGGTATGTTGGCACAAGTGCAAGTATCTGTACTGTTATCTGGTCAGTGTGATGAATGATTACTAGTTATTAGAAAATATTTGCATGCATAAACATGATTGCTCTCTGCATATAGATCAAATTAGCACTCACCCTTGCAGGTGCTTCTCTATTTATGCAAAGAATATTGACGCTGTTGTTCTCACCTGAACTTCTCTTAATGCAAAATCCAAACACTTTTAATTCTTCCCGTGCACAGCACGATCAGAGGTCAACCCCTGGGCCTTGTTTGGGGATGCTCTAGTTTAATGATTCAGCCTTGGTTTACCATTAGAAAGAAAAACTATTTTTTCTGTATTTAAAGCCACTTTATCGTAGACAAATTGGATCCATCAGAAGTCATTGAAAGTCTGTCCTAACTCTCGGTGTCTCCCAGTGCTTATGTAACTGGCTTTTTGTGGATTTTGTGGATTTCTTTTTGTCTTTGAGCTTTCAGACGGACGGGTGCGGGCTGTATTAATAGTCATTTCAGTCCCTCAGTCCTAAGCCATATAATTGGTTGCAGACGTGTATGCGTGTCTGTGTATGAGCGAGAGAGTGAAAACTGAGATCTGTGCGTTTTGGGATTCTTGGTAGCGTGTTTGAAAATGAGACGTGCTTCAGCAATATGCCAAGGGCTGCTTTATTATCACACGTATACATAAACTCAGACGTAAAGATGCACACAAACTAACACACCCATATACACACACCCTTGGCTTGTGTTTTGCCATAGCCCATAGTCAGCCATGTGTGATATGTGGCCCCTGGGTTCTTAGTTCCACAGGCTACAGATGACTTCTGTGGGCGACCACCTATCTCTCCCTGAGGTCCCGTCAGTCTGAGCCCAGCCTATAGACCACAATCCCTGTGGATAAAAGCCTCCATTCTTTAGTCACGCTGTTTTTTTGCTGTGGGGAGAGAGTTTTGATCGTGATAGCGTAATTGGGAAAATTTGTGGAGGATTGAAAGAGCACGCTATAATCTGTGTGATGTTTTTCCAAATGAACTCTGCTTGCTCTGCGTTTCGAATGCACTGGATGCAACTGGAACGACTCTGCCTTGAGTGTGAGACTGATTTAAAAAAAAATATTATTATTACTGGCTTCCGCCTGCAAATGATCATCTGCAATAATTGTGTTAGCAGACGTGAAGCGTGTGACCCAGTAAATAGCCACGCTTCAAGATCATGCAGCACACGGGAGCGAAAGCCCCGGTGCGTGTTTGAGTGGGTGTTAGGAGGTGTCAAGTGGGTTGTGGCGTAGAGCACCACAGCATGCACATCCAAAAACAGAAAAAAACACACAGCAGCTATCAGGCAAAGTCAGTCAGACCTGAAATGAGGAGGTGTGTCCCATCGGGTGGAGTGGGCAGGGCATTATCATCTGCTGAGCACTAGAAGAGGGTAAACCAGAGGAGAAGAGCATCAGAGGGGACTGAGCCGAAGGCCTGCACTCGTTTGTATGTTGAATCTTAGTGTGTAACCTATTCGCCGGAGATGAGTTTCCTGCACGAGGGGCGAGAGTTTGATTTCAGCTCTGTGTTTGAGTACAGCCAGGGCGTCCAGAAAGAACATGAAGGAGGTGGGTACAGTAGATGGTGTCTTTTCTTTTTTGTCTGTCCTGTATGTTGCATAGTGCGAGTGCACGTCTCTGTGCTTGCAAATTTTATGTTATATATATCAAAAAATAAGCAGTAAAAGTGTCTGTGTTTAGCCCCCCAAAAAAGCTTATTTCATTTAAACATTTATCCTTTTATCATTTTTGTTTTACGTTTTTTTGTTAAGGTGGACCGTCACTGGCCACATAGAAAAAGTGTCCTAGGCGTCACTCAACGTGTTGTATGCTGAGCTTTTCTGATGCGCGGCGCACCATCACCTCTGAAAATAGACCTGTGACCTATTTTAAGACCCACACATTTAGTGTGACGGATTTATCCTTTCATGTGATGCACAGCATCGTGATTGACAAATATAGCGCGCTCTATCAAGGGAAATGCCCTTCACTGGGTTTCACAATGATTGGTTTTCATTCTTTAACCACTTGTACCCTCATTGACATTGTCAACTCAAAGGCTGACATTAGCTTTACAACATGTGCCGCTACGAGGCCACCCGAAGGTGCATACCTGTTACCTGCTTCCTCGGACTGAGTCTGCTGTCAGTGCACTTGTCTGCCAGGGATCTCCTTGCCCGCTTGTTTTGTGTGCGTTTGTGTGTGAGTACCATCTGTGTGCAACGCTGCAGCAAACTCTCTTTGACTTAATCACATGCTCAGAGCGATGCGAGAGTGCTGTCAGTTTTCCACAGGGGAGGGACTAATTCACTCAGTGAGTGATGGAATCAATCAAATAAGGCATCCATCAGCGCTGCTGGAGGAATTCGGGTAGAGTACGTATGACAGCAGGGAGTGCCAAATGGAGCCTTAGATGAACTGATCAAACAAACAGACTGGCAGTGCATCTCGCGACTACGCAGCCACCACAAACAGTAAAACGCTCGGAGATGATTGCTAAGTCTCTCCAGATGTTTATAAAGAAGCGAGGCAGTCATTTGCTCCGGGACACATTGGTAAGATTTGTAAAGGGCTTTTGTTCTAAAATATAATCATGGTTAATTAGCACCATAATGTAGTGCTTCTGAGCTTTTGCTGTGTTTTTTTTGTCATATCCTATACCATATAATTACAATATGCTTCTTTTTCTTTTCAGATGCATACAGCTACACACCAAATGTCAGCTTGTCCCTTCCGGTGGGAATGGGCAACCCCTGCCTCGCTACCCAGTATCACACGCTACAGTCAAGCCCAGTCATCTCCGTTTCCTCTTGCCACCAGACAGGCTACAGCCTCCAAAATGATAACCATGCAGCCCCAGGTTATTACCTGTCCCACGGCCTGAGACCCAATGGGGCCCCAGCTTTGGAAAGCCCCCGTATTGAGATCACCGCCTACAGCCAGTATCCCGAGGATGAGGTAGAGGAGAGCAATAGCGAGGACCACATCATCAAGCGAGGCGTCAACTCCATCGTGACGCTGACGTTGCCCAATGCCGACGGCTACCGTGACCCCAGCTGCCTCAGCCCAGCAAGCAGCGTTTCGTCCCGTAGCTGTAACTCAGAGGCGTCCTCTTACGAGTCGGGCTTCTACAACTATGACAACTCCCCACAGAACTCTCCCTGGCAGTCTCCCTGCGTTTCTCCCAAAGGCTCATCAACGCTCATGTCTTGCCCACACGCCAGTGGCCCCGTCGCTCCCCCTCTCCATTCACCCTCCACCTCCCCTCAGATAGGAGCTGTGGCTGAGGAAGGCTGGGCGGCACAACCCCGCGGCTCCCGGCCTAACTCCCCCTCCTGCAGTGGAGGCGGCGGAGTCAACAACGGCGGCATGGGCAAGAGAAAGTACAGCTTTAATGGGACCACCTACCGTCAGACATCCTGCTCACCCAACCAGTCGCCCACCCCGTCCCCACATGGATCCCCCAGGGTCAGTGTAACAGATGAGATCTGGCAGGCCAACACCAACCAGTACACCAACTCTGCCATCGTGGCCGCCATCAACGCTCTAACCACAGATGGGGTTGTGGACATGGGGGAGGGGATCCCAATCAAGACGCGAAAGACCATGCTGGACCACTCCATGAGCCTGAAGTTGGACCCCGATGGGGAGCTGTGCCATGAGGACTACCCCTCCCGCCTGGCCCTCAAGAAGGAGAGCTACTGTGGAGGGTTCCTAGATGTGCCCCAGCATCCTTACTCCTGGTCTAAACCCAAGCCTTACCTCAGGTAGGTGGAACCAGTTTAGCAATCTTGTATTACTATAGCAAAGATAAAGCATAAAAACCCAACCAGTTCAGTGTGTCCCCTACCATGATATTATTTTTTAACCCAACTCTGCAGTGGTAGCATCCCATCACAAGCAGGTTAAATTAAACATTTTGCTTCTGAATCATATACCATGGGATATATTATATATTGATATATATCTTTTTGCACGCCAGCTACGCCCCAACACGTGGCAGAAAAGCGCAATCCGCCCGACTAATACCCCCCTTGTAAAGTTGTTATCCTATGGGAAACACTGCAGTTAATATGAAAACCAACCCGTCCATCTTGTCTCTCAGTTGCCTTGAGAAGATATTAAAGCACACACAGATGTTAACTTATTTTGACAAACACATTTGGCCGAAAGCTTTACTTTAAGATTTTTCAGACAGTCTAAAGGAAAAACCATTCATCCAATAACACTATTACGTTGCTGCATTTTTTCATTTTTCATTTCCATTTTCTGTTGCTAATTCATCGTAAAGGCCATGTAAAAAGGAAAAAATCCAAATGTTTCATGCCCTTCACTTCCAAAAGGACTTTGAAGATCAAAACTATTACACAAATATTATTGGACTGGAGTTGCCCCGCAAGCATGTGCGTAGCATCGTTGCCATGGCAACCCGCACACAAACATGGGTGAACTCATATACTAGATCATTGATTTTGACTTTTGAGCAAAAGAAGCTTTTTCAGTTTCAATTGTGTCCGTCGTGGCATTTTTCCCAAGCCAATAAGGCAGCCTCCTGGAGGAAATCAAGTGTTTGATTAAGATAGTGAGCAACAGGAAGCAATGGTGACAGGCCTGACTGAAAGGGAAGCAGTCTGTGGGTTAATCAGTCGGCTGGCTGCTGTGGTCCGTCGCGCCATCAGCCCATCTCTTTCTGTGTGGCTAACCTGATGTCATGCCCTGACTGGGCCGATAAAGCCCCGTGGGGGGAAATCAGTTCGTTTTGGGTCAACAAACAGCCCGCTGGTTCCACAAAGATGCCAGAGATTGTTTTCAGTTGAGCCACCCTCCGGGTCAGGGCTCTGCGTTCACCAGGCATCCGGCATAGCGAAATATTGTCTTGCACATGTTTGTTTTGTTTTAGATATCTTTTCGGTGTTCACGTGGGAAGCTCTGACTCTCCATCTCAAGAACAATGATGTTAAGGGCGGCCAGCTGCAGCTCTGAGAAAGAGATATCATGGGGTATCGCTGACCTTAGTCGGTGGTATAACTCCATCTATTGTCTTCAAACCACTGTGGCTGTTCTTTTGAATTACACAGCTATCATTTTATGATTGATATTTGTTTCAAAATGTATAGAAATGTCTCACTGTCACTTTCTTGACTCCCACCTGTCATACCTAATACAAAACTCAATGGTCCCTAACCAGGTCTAAGTCTGGTTTATTTTTAAAATACAAGGGCTGAGGAGTTCTGCACGTCAAGGAGTTACTTTAATTGATTAGATTACACACCATTACACACCGTTTTTTCAGCAAAGATTTACCAAATGTTTTTCCCATAAAAGTAAAGACACTGTTGTATAAATCAGCGGTAGAGTATGAAACAGACGTGTTGTGTGTTTTTATTTTCTCCTAATAATATAAATGTGTCATCTTGTTGCAGTCCATCCCTGCCAGCTCTTGACTGGCAGCTCCCGTCGTGCTCCGGCCCATACAACCTGCAGATCGAGGTGCAGCCAAAGTCCCACCACAGGGCCCACTATGAGACCGAAGGCAGCCGAGGGGCCGTGAAGGCGCTGTGTGGCAGCCACCCTGTAGTGCAGGTAGGTCACCAGCTCTGTGGTTCGTAGATTCACTGCACACACTCGTGTTCATCTGGTACCCGGTTAGCTTTGTGCTTATTAGTTTGCTGTCCTTAGAGCATAGATGTTCACTGATGTGCATTTAGTGCTGTCCAGCAACAAGCTAGTGACAGTGAAGTTTGGATGACTGAGTCTTTTCTCTCCTCCTATTTTTACTAAAGAAATCTTTGAATCAAATCTGCCTCTTTTAGTTTAATTTTGAATTATGTAATGTGCTTTCAAATCAACACTATCTGCAAAACTCTTACAGCTCATTCTGCAGGATTAAATTGTGACTACAAATAGTACAGGTCAACTACTGTCAAAATAGTACAGGTCAACTACAAAGTCAATGGATAAACCTTCTGCATTCTTTCACTAAAGAGACATGAGTGTATGAGATTTTAACAACATACAGAATATTCAACAGCTCATTAAATTAGCGTTGCTAGTCAGACTATATAAGTTGATGCATACGTGCACCCTCACTAGGTAGTGACATATGTTTCTGCAGGTTTTTCTTCTGCCGTTTTATTAATGTTCTCTGGAGTCATCTACTGCTGCAAACGGTCGGTTGGACCAGCATCAGTGCATGCTGACTCAATTAGTATAGAGCAGGACCATCGTCTCTCACTATTGTGCTTGGCGTACACGCAAATATCACACGTCAGCCTCGCCACAGCACAGTGCTTCTTTCTCTGCACTCTACCATCACACTGCGTTGACATCTTGGTTTACTTAAGGTGGGGGATCTAGAGGCGTGTGTGTATGTCCTTAAGGTTGAGCGTCAGTTTACCCTTCAATGTCGTCAATTCCAAATGAAACTGCTGTGCGTACTAATAATATATATAGGAGCAGTTATTGAGTTTGTAGCTGACTGGATTTAAAGATATCAGGTAGCAGATGTTGTATTTTATCATCCAACCAACACTTCACCCAACAGAGTTGCCCCTTCCGTGTCACACAATTATCATTATTTTGTAAATAAATGTTGTCAGCACATCCCCGTGTCCCCAATGTTAAAGGCACTTGACAGCTGTTGGACGACGTGTTGTTATAAACAGGCCTGTCTCTGTGCATGCAGGTTATTATTCACTTTCATTCCAAACCTTTGTAAGTCCACATGAGGTTGAATCAACATCTCTCCGTCACACCTCACAAATGAGGCTAAACGGATTCGGCTTGCACTGCACAGCTGTGGCAGTTGAGGTTGGTTTTGATTTAGTTCACACCACTTTCTGACTCACTGGGGGCTGCAGTAAAAATATGTCATGAGTAAGCATCCTGTTTGTCTTTGCATTGTCCAAATTTACATCGATGGCTCATACGAGAATGAAACCAATTCATTGCCAACCTTGCAAGTGTTATTATGTATGCTTATGTATGTACGCTTTCCTTTTTCGGTGAGTGATTTATGCGTTTGATGCGGCACTGGCAGTTAATCTGAATACCTCGAAGGTTTCATAAATGCTGAAACCCCTGGCAGAATGGCAGCTGAGGGAAAGATACTTCTTCAATGATTACGCAATCATGTGTGGAAGCTGGAGATGACACTGTAAAAAAAGAAGATATTTTGGACAGTTTGGAGTGGAAATCAAAAAAATCACACTCCCTCGCTCTCTGTGGCTCTCTTAGTCTCTGTTGTAGCGCTGGAGCGAAATGTCGTTGTTGAGGAGGATAGAGCATGCTTCAGTCCCCTGCGTCCTGTGGTAATCGGTGGCAGGCACTAGATGGGTGAGGTGCAGTCAAGGAGAAGACACAGGGACACGGGTGTAGGAAGCAGCAAAGGAAGTGTGTTTGTGCTTAAGACTGGAGTAAGTACAGAGAGAGAGAGAGAGAAGGGGCGAAGGGAGTCACCAGGCAGCTGATGCCTGGCTAGGCTGCCCCTGGAGATGTTCTGCATCCTGCTGATTAGGGCCTCGGTGGCACCGAGGTTGGCTGAGCATGGCGGTGGTGGGGGTGGATGGGAGTGAGAACCCCAGCACCCATCGGTCGCCGCCTCCCCTTTCCATGCACATGTGCCTGCCTACCTCCCTGAAGGGACTAAGGATGTCACTCCTTGTGATCTGCTCATCCTTCAACCGTCTCCCAAACCCACACCGGCAGTCCTCCCTCGTTCAACGATAGCTGTTGTTTTGTTTTTTTGGCTCATGGATGACCAGACGTGCCGTGTGAGTGATGTTGACATGTGTGTTGGAAAGCAACGGTGGATGGAAATAACAGCAAGATTGAAAAACAAGACGAGACAGTTTACGGTTTTCCCAGCAGAGACGGCAACTGACAGATAATCCAACCGGCACGCCCAACTGCTCGATTACCCTTGTTGTCTTGCTGCTTATTAACATGCAGAGGTGTTTGCTTGACGAAACGGCCCAGAAGGTTTAGCATTTGTGAGGTCTGACGTCACCCTAGGCTGTGGCAGATCAACCGCACCAGTGCGGCCCCCACGCACCCACTGTGGGGCGAGGAGAATGGAGTGTCTGTGCTCCAACCGCACACTGATGAAAACCTCCAGATCGGTTATGGGTGGGTTACCTCGACTCAGTACCCCCCTGTTGCATTGCGCTGTCTCTCTGCGCTTCCTGTTCCAATCTCATTCATTTATTCTGGACTTGTCCCCCTCCTCCCCCTCCCTCGTCGTCCTCCTCCGCATCCGCAGCTTTTTAACCTACTGTCTCCCAATTTGGTCTACTTCGTGACCCCCGCGGCTGCTTTTTCCAATTTATTTACTGCAACAGACCACAGCACCATTAGGGGATCTAGGCTACTCCATCGGCTCCTCTCACACTGTTCCAGGCTCTTCTTTCTCTCACCACAGCTATGCCAGACAACTTTCAAAGCCGTGCTCAGAATAAAAACAACCACGTCGTCTACCTGCATTCAGAATGTAACCACAACATTTGTTGATGGGGTGGGTTTTCAAGAGGAGGACGTCTTGGAAGGGGATGAACAGGGCGGTGACCCGGCTCTGATCTGAATTGTGGGTTCAGCTGAAGAAGTTCCAAAGGCAGGACCTCGGCGAGGAAACACACAGACATCTGCCAGACCTTCCGTAACATCAGACACCAACACCTGTGGAGTATTAAACCCATCGCACAGCGTGCAGCAAAGTCCTGTGTACGGCTAGTTTGTGTAGGATAATGACTGGCCTATAGGGCTTTACCCCTTACACGCACACATACACTCAGTCTCTCATTAAGTCGAAAGCCGCAACAGACACGGGGTAATTTCAACAGGATGTGGCCATCGTCCCTATTAACATGTGCGTGACTTCATACCCATCTCCCTTCCTCTGCAACTGTATGTAATACGCTTCAAATGTGCAGTACGTTTCCGCCACAACAGCATGAAAGACCTTGGCAAGCATGTGCTCGGTCCTCCGCATGTGTGCGGTTTCACCTTATGATCCGGCGCTTGCTGGCTGTGTAATGTCTGGACGAAAAGAAAAGGACCCCTCATCCTGCAGCATCCTATACTGTAGCTGCTAATTGATCGTTAAATCTACTGCCGCCTCTTGTTTGAATATTCAAGAGCCACGGTGTACCCTGTAGTGCTGTCAAAGCTTAGTCAGGGCTGTTATTCATTGCCCAAAGGGGTATTTATGCCACTCTAAAATTGTGGTTCTCCATCTGTGGGGCTTCCCTTACACTGGTATTGGGCTACCACTAATTACCAGTTAATAGCATGTGGAAAAAATGGAACGAAATGTGCATCGTTTTCACTGGTTTGAGGTGATAATCAGACAGCCCGCAGATTTAGGAGGTAAGACACCGGTGGGTAGTGGTGGCGTTTGGGGGGGGAGGGGGCACAACAGTTACTCGCGAATCATCTTACTCTAATTCTCTGTAGGTTTGGGATATAGCTCTCATGTGCTAGTAATGTGGGATTTGGACCCTCTCTGGTCTAGACATGGGTTAGAGCTTGAAACTATGTCCTCCATGACGTAGCATCGAAGTGCTCGCTTCAACGTAAACTTTCGCTGGTTGATTATAAAAAAGGAGCAGCTTTTGGAGCTATGGATCGGAACTGCATTAAAGGATTGCATATGTTGCCTTATGCATTCAACATGAGGCACGGAAGACATTAGTGGGGCATGAGGTTGATGGAGTAAGGTCTGGAAGGAGAGACAACTTGGACGAGTGTACATTTAATTGGATACAGCACAGGCTGGCCATGGTACTGTCAGCACTTGACAGAGAGGGGGGGGCTTGATAATTGGAAAAGGCCTGAATCTGCTGTTGTATTTCTCCTCCCTGGCTTGATACCCCTCCACGCACACCCTCCTCTGCTGCTTCCAGTCGTCTTCTGTTTCTCCTTTTCTCAATTCTCTCTGCGCCACGTGGACCTCTACGAGTCATGACATTTCTCCAAGAAGTGATGAAATCACTGCCGAGGGATAGCAGGCAGCCCACTGCAGGCTTGTAGAGTTTATTCACACTTCATCTCTAGCCAGGCCAGAGCAATCGAATTCACCGGCAGGTCATTATTAGGGCATGTTGGAATCCTGTCTTTGAACCAACGAGGTACCTGCAGCTTTGAGACATATCACTGTTGCTGAAGAAAACTGAAGAATGAAAGATACATACACCCTGTATCATAATTTAAATCACAACAGGTTCAGATTTCAGTGAGTGAAATAAAGAGAATCTAGCAGAGAAAAGAAACACTTTGGGAGCTCTATGCCAAGGGCTGTAACTTTTGATACAGATGATGGAGCTGTAAGAGTTCAAAAGGACTGAGAGATGAGTGGTTGAAAGGGCATGCACTCCCTTTTTTCTGCCCCGACACCTCGTCCACATCATCGCAACTGACCCAGACGATACAGATGCGTACAATTACGCAATTAATGCCTCATCTGCCATATCCGCAATGTTTTACTTGAGCCTCGGCTTGAAGAATTTGCTCGTGCCGAGTCGGCCTGCGGTGGGATGTGTAAATGGTTCTAGCTGACACAGTGGCAAGAGTTGGCACCCTGAAAACAGCTGCAAATCAATCCTAGATTCAAACGGTTTAGATTATCTCAAAATAAATATACAGCACGGGTGCCAGATAGGCTGCAGTCACAGCTAGGAAAGCTCATCTGGACAAAATTATATGCACTCTGGTCCAGCTTCACAGGCCGCATTATACACAAACACAAGGCTGAGGTCACAGGTGTGTGTGTGTGTGTGTGTGAGACACTTCTGTTGTCAGCCCACACTTAAGGTATACACTATTTTCACTTTATTCCTATCCTATTTCCCCTTTGAGAATATGATAAAGAAGTACGTTGCGTGCTCTGTTTGTGGTGTGCATTTGAGGAAAGCATCACAGAAGCACAGGGGGGTCTTAGCGAAGCGGGGTCAAAGGGGCACATATGGTAAAGCAGTCGGGGGAGGTCGCCCAGGGGGGACTAGACCGCCTTCCTTTGCTTCTGGGAAGACCAGCGTCACCAAGAGGACTACCTGACCTCATTAATCACTTCCTCTCCTGCATGAGGTCACTACGGCTCTGAGCGTGGACGCCACCGTCATTGTGTGCTACCGCAAGACGAGTGAAGGGATAAAGACACCCCCCTCCCCCCCTCTTCCCCGCCTTCCCTCCTGCCTCTCTTGTGGGCCTCCCTACAGCCACGTGGCAGCTGATGTAATGGTTGGAGGTCACCGAGACATCCAAAAACGTCTACTGAGGCTAAAGTGACAGACGACATGGCTTTGTAGCGTGGCTGCCTGTGTTTTATTAAATCATAGGGAAACGTCATGCAATTTAACGCTCCGGCGTTCCAGATTTGTACCTCATGCTCCACCGTAGCGCTCGTACGAGTCAATACACAAGTAACTGGTAGCATGTGTGGCTATGGATAATTACCACTGGTGACACCATAAGTAAAATATAACAAGCAGAGCGGGGTCTGCCGGTGAGATCACCGCGTAGATGAAGTGGTCCCTTGGGACGCCAAGACTTCAAGAAGCCCCTGACCTCGGCCTAACTCACTGATGACTAGCATGTGTCTGCAGGTCAAGACAGCTGCTAGATACACTACGTGGAGCTGAAGCGAAAAGTAGGTTGGAACTGGAGATGAACGAGAGCTTTGGCTTCACCACTCTCCTTGCACTTCCCTGATATCTGAATCAAAGCAAAGCAAGGTCACCACTGGCTGCTGATAATATTGAGACATCTATGGTCTCCTCCGCTGTCCTAATAGTTATATCCTATTTGTACTCAACATAATTAATACTGAAAACTGCTCTACTTCACCCGCCTGGTCGCAAATCCAAAAAGATCTGTCGTCAAGTACAGACCAAAGGCGTTCCATCGCCATGTTTATGATTCGGCCAGACAACGTTCAATACGGTGTGCAGACAAATCAGTCCACAAACAAAAGACATTAGGTGTCCATGAGACTGCAGAATTGTTTTCCACTGACAACTAATGACGTAGCTCTCCAGTCCTCCGCCGACCTACCTCCTCAGTCCCATCTCTGCCCGCCCTCACAAAAGGTGATTATAAAGCCATTAATCAGACTATGTCATAGGTTACATGTGGTCTGCATTTTGCTATATGACTCAGTGTCTTAGATAAACAACAGGGGTCTTTTATTCCATCCAACGACTACCACTATTTTCACTCGGATGGAGCTGAAAGAAAATTGGTCAGTAGCAATGCGCTGCAGTAATTGACCAATTTGCGGGATCTTTTTAGATGGCCATGGCGGGGCGAGCCCTGGTCCACTGTAAGTGATCCCTCGCAGTGAATGTTATGTGCGGTCAAGGAGCCACCTGAGCGGATCCAAAGAGGTCCAGCCGAGTCCTCTCGGGTTTCTCTCGGTTTGAAACCCGATGGATTTTGCAGTCGTCGGTTCATAGACATACACAGATTTCCAACTTCACACAACACATCCACACATTTGACCATAAGACCACTTTTTGCTGCACGGAGCAAACTTAAACTGGGAGGTCTGCAGTGACTCAGTTCCACCAGAATCCACATTTGGTTGGTAATTTATTCAGAAATCACCCACAAGGTATCAGTTGTCCTTAAACTCACTTTGGAATTTGTAACCCTGCCTTATATTTTAAGCCATTTTTCACTTGTTTGAATCATCGAATAATGTTTATTTAAACACTGTCAGAAAATGATCCAGGGATGCTGAAGGTAAATTGGCCCTTTGCACTCAATATATGAAGAGGCTTCGACCCCAAAATGTCAACAGTGCTTTTAAAACTCTGCATGGCTATGGAGCTTTTCTTCTCTTTTTTACAATATTTGATCTTTTTATTACTTGAGCAGTAGCAGTTAATGGAGGCCTCCGGAGGAAGTGGTAGTTGTTTGAAGTGGTGGTTCTGATACAGGAGTCTCTTTCATCACAGTGGGACACAGTCTCTAAACTTTAATGGAAATCATAATGCAAGTTCATAACTGCCCAAAGGGAAAAGGCTGGATCCCGACTGCATGCCAAGCCCCTCAAACTGTTTCAGTCTTATTAAATGTAGGTGTAATGTATGCTGAATTGGACACTACCGTACCTACAGTATATAGACAGTTATTAGAATCTAAATGTATGTTTTGATTTTAATTTTCTTTTTATTACGCTTATTATTTTAGTAATGGTCGTCAATGTCTTTAGTTTCATGAACTCTCACCTTGAGGCCGACCCGAGATGATTGTCATCTTCCATCCCAACACCAGACAAAAGAAACCTTCACCGAATCCTAAAGGAATGGAGAACTAGCTAAAATAGGACAGCGGCAATGAAAAAGGGTCTCCGACCCGACCGAAAGACAAACAAAGACAAGTGGCGCGTGTATCAGCCCCTCCACCATGTCAGAGCTGTCATTAAAAGCCTTAGTTTTAACAATCAGTAGCCGATGTGATTCAATCTCTGTTTCCTAAATGAGGGGTTGCCTGAGATGGAGGTCTTAAAAAAAGTTGCCTCTCACCTGGGTCCCTTTGTTCTCCCGCCAGCTTTATGGCTACATGGAAAGCGAGCCGCTCACCCTGCAGCTGTTCATAGGGACCGCAGACGACCGCCTCCTGCGCCCACATGCCTTCTACCAGGTCCACCGCATCACTGGCAAAACCGTCTCCACCGCCAGCCATGAAGTCATGCAATCCAACACCAAAGTTCTGGAGATCCCTCTGCTGCCTGAAAACAACATGAGAGCAATGTGAGTTCCTTTAGACTTTCACAAGTCACCTTTAAATCTTTTACTTTTCACATTCTTCCCGAGTAGCCCCTTCTTTAAAGTACACCCACAATAACACACACCACACTTGTTTCCATTCCTCAGCACCTCCCCCCTTACTATACCTCCACAAACAGACTTCACGTTGTTTGGTGTGCACGATATCTCCCTAAACCTCGTCGATTACAATGTGCAATGAGAACTGGCAATTGTTAAACAATAAATAAAAGAATAAAAAGTGTACTAAATTACTGTTCAAGTCTTCAGTGCCTGCGTATGCAAATATAGGCCATCGAAGTAGACATTCTTCTTTTATTAGGAAAAACAAAGGTGTCCCACAGAGGTGTTCACTTGCAGTAAATCTTGACGGTGTGAGCAAACATCTAAATCAACAACACTGCAAAACAATCCCCAACAAGACACTATGTGAGTGTGAGGATGACAATTTAGAAAACTGAATTTACAAAAGCAAACAAACAGTAGCTTTGTTAGCCAACTCTGAAGCACTTAAAGGTTGAGATATTGCACAATTTACCTACTTTAATTTGCTACTGTAAATGAGATCTGAGCTCAAACAGGAATGAATGGACACATTTTGCTTCATAAAAGTGTGGTAAAACTGAGGTAAATCAGCCTGGGCATCTTATTCTGCAGACCTGCAGTAGGGGACTGGGCTCTGCAGGGTGTCCGGGCATTAGCTCCTGACCTGGGGCTCCGTTCAGACTACGCTGCAGTGGAGTTAGTTGGACTTGGGCCTAGAGCTCTGGGTTATGGATAAAACCGCTGTATCCGAACCAAGGTTACATAAGCGCGTTACCTCTCGCTGCACCTCAGGTTTATCCAACCGGTTTGAAAATGAAAAAAAACAAAACGCTTACGATTTAATACAGATTTTTTTCATGTTTGTTTAAATCAGTCCTTTTCAACAACACCACAATATCCCTTATTATGTATCTATGTATTTATGAGCGCCCCTCACCCATTTGACATAATGTGTCCCTAAGGATGAATAGGATATTAAAACATATTCAAGAGGAAGTTTCTGCTCCCCCTTTACGTGAGCTCACACGCTAGAGGAAGAGGAGTGAAAGTTCTCTTTCTCTCCCCCGACTACCTGAAAAGTCAAAGAGAAGTCTTGAACCTTTTCTTTCCACTGAGCTGTTTAACAGTTGTTCTGATAACGCAGCATCCGCCCCCCCCTCACCTCCCCCCCGGTCTCGTGCCAGTGATCATTGCTCGCTGTGTGGGATGCAAACAGTCGAGAATGCAATCAAACGGTCGGGCGGTTTGAATCTCTTTCTTTCCTATTCTAGAAAATCCCTCTCATGCACATACACATACATCATGCTAGGTATTAGGTAGTATTTTTTATTTCTTTAGTAATACAGTACATGCTTAAACAAATGAACATGCTCATAAATACAAAGTACAATATTCAACACTTGCACCATGCACATTCTTTTTTTTCTTGTTCATCCAAATTGTGAAAGAAAAAGTCAAGAGGAAAAATAGAGTGGTACACAACCTGACATTTACCCTGCTCTAGGAATAATAATAATGCCCAAAAGCTACAATATTCAATAAGTGCTAAACCATATTCCATTCGTATTCGCTCACTTTTTTTTTTTACCAGCCACACTTGTTATATTTAAATTCATGAAAGACCATGTTAGAAAATGAAGGCATTTTTTCCACAAAAGGAATCCACTCCTTTCCCTTCCAAATTGTGAAATAAAATAAAGACAGACGGCTTAAAAAAAGAGTCGTAACGCAACACATGTCAATGATTAACGGAGGGTTTTTCACCCCTAAACATGTCAAGCGTATACGGCTCCAATGGTGTGAAGAGACCAGAGAGGTTTGGTGCGCTCAGATAGCAATAAAGGGACTCTCGTGTGTACCGACTGCAGCTGAAGGGAACGTGGTGGGATGGCGCGCTCAGTCCTGAGGATTCCTCCAGAGAGCTGCTAATTCCTGGACCACCGTGACCCTTAAAAACTGTGATGCAAAGCCATCAATGTGCAACACTGTGTGTTTGATGACATGCGGTATTAATAACGACACGGCCGTGCTCCAGTGGACTTCCAGTGCTTGATCTGTAACACTAGCGGGCTTCTCTGCTGTTCTTTAATGCTCAGCTACTCTTTTAAACTGACAGAGTCATTCAATTCGCTCCCATTTCTCTTCTTTGTCTGTATTTTCTGGTGAAAATCTTGTGTTCCGAGTAGTTTGCATGAATACAAGATGAAAAATAAGGAAAGCAACAATGGAGGCTTTCCTGACACAGTTGTTTTGTAAAAGCATGCATGTCTGCCTTGAAACAAAGTCACTTTTCCATTACCTTGAATAAAAAATGTCCCCTTTGAAATATATGTTTAAATCGTACTCTTTCCCGCCCCTTGTCCCAGAATTGATTGTGCAGGGATCCTGAAGCTGCGTAATTCAGACATCGAGCTGCGCAAAGGAGAAACCGACATCGGACGCAAAAACACGCGCGTGAGATTGGTGTTCCGTGTGCACATCAACCAGCCCAACGGCAGGACTTTGTCCCTACAGGCTGCGTCCAACCCCATTGAATGCTGTAAGTTGGGCAGAAATAAACGGACTCGCCACCATTGTTGTAATCCAATAAACTGAGCTGCTATTTTATAACCTGCTGGAGAAAATTCAAGGCCCCTGAAGCTTTATGTGATCAAAGCAATTCCCTGAGGCAATAGATGCATTGTACGTGTTGCCAGACACAGGTGTTATCTATTTTAACTCTCATTTTATGACTGAATGCACACGTTATTGTGGTAAGCCCTCCCGCATTAGCACAGGTTCCATAAAGGTCATTTGCCAGCCTCCAGTTTTGGCACGGTTGAATGAGCGCATTGAAAGAAACCTCTGTTTCTTTGTCATTGTGCGTAAAGGTGTGTTGTTATGAGCACCCAGGAAAGCCCATTCAAGTTTAAAGGTAAGTAAGAGCTGGCATTGTAGTTTATGGGCTAAAATGGATGTTAATCTGAGTTAGTTCATCATTACTGAGGAGGTTTACTAAGTAAATATAAGTACCAATTTCTAAAATGATGCAACAGATTTAAGTGCATAATAGATTTCAATGCACATTTATGTGAAAATCAATGTATGTGCTTCTGTGAATCTGATCCCCAAATCCATCCAAAAGGCCGCAGTTACAGAAAACAGCGACAGTGAGGACGGTGGCCACAGGCCCTCCATGGAAAATTGTGACTTAAGGATCAGTTCATGAATACGTTGTTTGGACCAGTCGTCCGCCTCTTTTGATGTCATTTAAAGTGCGGCGGTTGGCCAAAAACCAATTAGCCAGGGGTCATGAAATCATCGTATTAAAGTTGATGAGTCGGTTTTACTGCTGTTCATCTGGCTTGTGCTTCTTGGAGTGGATGGAGACCAGCCAGTGAGTTCATATGGGCTCACACACACACACACACACACACACACTGTATTGAAATGTGTGTGTCCCTCCCGCAGCCCAGCGCTCGGCTCAGGAGCTTCCGTTGGTGGAGAAGCAGAGTGTGGACAGTTACCCTGCCACGGGAGGCAAGATGATGCTCCTGAGCGGCCTCAACTTCCTCCCCGACTCCAAGGTGGTGTTCGTGGAGAAGGCCCAGGGTAAGTCCGCCGCCGCCAATGCCGTGTTCACCGCCCCTCGGTTGCAAATGTCTCTCTCCCGCTCTTTGCCTCCGTTGCATTTCCTCCGTCTCTCGTCCCGTCAAAATAGAGCAGGCGCTGCCAGAGAGCCACATGTGGTGTTCATTAAGCCACTATATTTTTAACCAAAGCGTATTTACATTTGCTGTAGTTTCCATTGCCTGTTCAATGGTGCTCGCCACAAGTTAAGGAATGATTCACAACCAGGGCATGTGCAACGTCTCTTTCTCTCACTTTCCCTCTCTGCCCTCCCTCCCCTTGCTCGTGACATTTAACCATCTCGCTTACTCTCACTTCTGTGTATTTCACCCGTTCTGCCGGATACTGACCACGGCAGTGAAGTGTGAATGATGGTTTCCTTGATTGCACCCACTACGGCAAAGCTAAGGTCAAGCACAGCGATAGCGCTGAAGTCTGTTGAAACACGATGAGCAACAGGTAAGGAAGGATGCGGGAGGCGTCTCTGACGATATCCACCCAGTGAATGATCAGTCATTTCACTATTTGATGATTGTGGATCTACTAGTTAAACTGAAAAATACAATTTTTTTTTTTTTTTTTACTCCACACCAAACGTCACCAAGAGGGTTTTTGGTCATGGCAGTTATATATAAAGACTATCAATACAAAATATACCCTGATCTGATGCATAGATGAACAAATAAACCATGTTTTTATTGGTATTGATTTAATGTCTCAAGACACAATTCATGGAATCCAGATCAAGTCTTCTACATACATAATTACAAACAGTACAAAGTTAAAAGAGTTAACAGTTTGATGACAAAAAAATGTCCCCCAGTAAACGAGAAAGGGGTCCATCTAATCCCAGATATCATTTCAGCAGTTCGAGCTGTATCGCTGGGAGGGAAAAGTCCTGCTTTTTTTTTTTTTTAAGAAAAAAAGTCAATTTAAAAATACGACAAGCTGAAAGGCTTTCGCACTCTGAATCACTTACCGGGTTCAGCGATAGGTAGCGATGGGGTGAAGGGAGGTGGATGAACTCGGTCATATGGGGTCTCCTTCCTCCTTGCTTTACTTAGTCATGGAGGGGGATCCCCTGGAGAGGAGAGGCCATACATACACAACGCCGCCGCCTCGCTGCTCCCAGCTATTTGAGACTCATGACCCCTTCAAGGTTGTGTTACCATTTTTTCACCCCCTTGCGCTCTCCGCTTCCTCTTTTTCTCTCCTTTCACTCCCTCGTCCTTTTATTCTTCTTACCTCTATCCTTGATACCCGTTAAAGACATTAGCCGGCATGGAGCTCTGCTCTAGTGGGATCCCCACACTCGCGCCTGCCATCAACATTCAGTGGTCTGTTTTCCGTCTGTGTGGTGTGGAGACGGAGAGAGAGAGATCGAGAGAGAGGTTGTCTGTCTACTACTTTATTTATTTAGTATTTTTATTATTGGTTTATTTGGGTACGGGACAGTGCACATTAATAAAAACGTTTCTTTAAATGTGCCATGATAGCGAGGGTGTACAATATCGACACTTTACAATAATTGCACAAAGAATTAAAAAGCTGAGAATGAAAGTCTTATACATTGTACTTATTCTGCTTTTATCTTAACTTTAATGACTCTCCACTTCCAAGGCGTTCTAAGGTTAAACACTGGAACACACACATCATGATGTGTTTCAGGCTTAAAAATTCTCTTGTGTATTTAGAAGGACTAAACTGGAACGAGGAGGAAAAAAAAACTAATTCAATAAAATTATAATCACAGATTTATTCTATAACTTTGGTTTTATTGTCCTTTGGAAAAGTTCATGGCTAAATGCACCCGTGGATACAGAGCATTACGCCGCAATAATTACTACTCGCAGACGTTTGCTTATGCACAGAGGGGGACACGCACGGCTGAGCTCTTTGCACGACACCAATCACTACTTTTGCCACAGTGGTGACAGCCTTTACCGTTTCTGCCATCAAAGATCAGGACGGCTGCTCATTTTCCAAAATTGACTCCAATAAACACCTTCCAGAAAATTCCACAAATCCTAAGGAGCAACAGACGGTCCTTCGAGTCTCCCAATCCAACTGAATGATTCAATAACCCAAGACGAGTCCGCCTATTAGCCCAAATGAGACAGCCGCGAATCATGAAGACATGTATTTCTACTTTCTATTTGCTTTCACACTCTCAGGGATGTTGCCGCTTTTAGCACAAACATACCCAGATGACTGTTTTGGAACGGCCTGCTTGGGAAAACAACAAGAGCAGATGTCAATACATTAATTGACTCTTAAATAATGGATGACATCAACAATTTTCCAATAACAGTTTCTGGTTAAGCGATGACAACAAAGACCCCCAAAATCTTCCTTGACAAATCATTTTCGCTGCTAAACGTGTTGACACTTTAAAAGTCAACATTTTATATTCAAATTCATCTGCCTAATATTATTAATTCTGGGGTGAACATGTACATAAATTGTACGTATTGCACTAGTACAAATAAACCTAGATTGGCACGTTTGTAGTTATTTCTTATGGGGAAGGCAGTTTAAAGGCAGATCCTTCTGAAAAACCTGCATATAAATATTATTTCAACCTGCTGCACGGTTAAATGATGTCTTTCACAGCCACTTTACTCCTTCTCCACTTTACTCTCTGTTGTTTTGATTGTCTGCCCGTCCCCCCGCGGGACGTCCCCGGTACCAAATGAGCAGAGTGCATTGTTGTTGTCACTGCGCGAGACCTTAATGCGCCTTGAAAAAGAATTACTTGTTCTTTTCAAACGCCACGTCGTTCCCCTCTGCTCCACCTCGTCATCCACAAGATGCACGCGCATGTGTGCGCGTGTGTGTGCGTGTGTGTGTGTGGTTTTATTTGTCGTGTATGTCGTGGGCGCCTGCGGGCCTGTTTGCGTTGTTCAGTAGGAAGTGTTTTCAGTGAGTCATCTGCAAGGGCTTCCCTGTGGAGGGGTGAAACGGAAAAGGGAAGACCCTCAGAGAGTTGTGAAAGACAGGGCGTCCTTAGAATTCCGATTTGGGCGACCTTGTGTACGGAGACGTCGGAGAATAGTGATCGCACTCATGACTTGATTTATTGAATGAATGTCAGGAACATTCATGTGACTTTTATGAAGCGAAGAAGTAGTATTTCTTCCTTCATTGAATGAATTAATGCTCTTGCTATTTTTTTGTTCATCGCAGACCACACATAGAGACCAAATGAAACCGGCGGATAATGATAGACTCAAAAACTCCACGTATTTTTTCTGCTGTAACACAAACATTCTTTTCAATCGTAATTATTCTTGACATGTATTTTTAATAGACTATCTTTTTTTCTCTCTCTGAGGTGGAGAGTTGTACCCTCCACGTAGCCGCAATATAATAATTTATGAAACTTTCCATCTTTTTTTTTTGCATAGTTGTGCTCATTTTCTTTTTTCATTATATGTATGTGTTGAGGCTGCGTCAGTGTTTCGGTTTTCCCTAACCGCTCTTTTGGAGCGGAACTTTGAGGACATACCTGGCGCACCTATTGCAGTGTGCGTTCTAGCTCGCCCTGGATGGAATAAGTGCTGGAGGCAGGGAAAATAGAGACAGACAGACAGACAGAGAGAGAGAGAGCGCGCTGGGGAAAGCCTACACTCTGACTTAGAGGGGAGGTAAGGGAATTCCCTGGTGAGCTGGATAGTTTTTACATCTGGTCGGGTTGGAACGTTGCCTTGAGCTCGGCTGCACCACACACGCCTGCACTGCAGCGGGGAGAAGTCTGGTCTTGTCCACCTCCGCTGCAGGCTGGTCGGACAGCCAAGACTAAGAGAAGTTTGAGCTCCAGTTTGATCTGTAACATTAGGACAGAAGAGTTAACAGCTATTAGCCCCTGGCTATTTATGCTGTCACGTGGAGAGCAAAAGGCTCAACCGCTCGGATCCGCGTACCTTTTATTATTCAAGGAGCGCAAGCCTCACCCTACGTGTGCTGTTAGAGTTCATTCACAGACTGTTTATAATCCGCTGAACCGAATACCGTGGACAAGTCTAAGCACCAGAGTAATCGGTCGATGTATTGTACTTCTAGCGCTATGTCTAGACTGCCCTTTGGCTTCGGGCTAGAATAACCTTGCATAATCCTGGCTCATATTTTGCCACCATGGCAGTGGAAGGTCGGCCTCCACCCCTGCTTCAGGCTAGAGATCACAGGAGTGTGAGTTACAGTATACGTCTAATCAGGACACCAAAATCAATGGTTACGTGTGATAATTGTAGTTCTAAGAGGAGCCCTCCAACAGAGCTGGAGGGACTTTACCTCTTATGCTCCTTTGCCACCCCCCCCCAACATGAAGCATCTATCACGTCAGGTCCAAAGCTGTAGAGAAACGGATGGGTCACTACACCAAAACAGCCAACCATGACATCCATTATTGTGAGGCAAGATGCCGCTGCCATCTTTAAAGATGCACGGTGGATTTTGATTTGGGAGCAGTTAGATTGCCTCTCAACATGGCAGCGGCCCAGCCGGTGGCTAACTGCTAACAGGGTTTACTAGAGGCTCGCTCAACACAAAGAGCCTTATCCGAGCAGTGCACACATTTTAGGAGTAACAATGCAAAGTTAGGATTCAGTTCTAAGATGAAGCTTAGCGAAATGGTGAAAAAAATTGCCTCTCAAAGCCTCTTTTCTAAAATGTTTTTTTGCAAAACACTTTGGAATGCCTTGAACACGCCTACACTTCAAAGGGATCACGGCGATATCAGATCAAGAACACGTCTAGATTGTCCTGTGGCCTCTGTCCTTTCTTTAAACTTCTCTGAATGTGTCATAGCTCAGGTGTTAACACATCCCCTGGCATGGCCATGGTAAACGTAATGATATCAGCAACAACGCCACGGGTCCGGATGGTTGCACGGCTGGCATAGGGAAGCTAGGACCAACAGCCCACACAGGTAGAAACGACATCTTTTTATAGCTAATATCTGTTAAATGCTTCATTAATGACCTGAATGTACGGAGAACTCTTAAAGCGATCCTGCACAAAAACATTCCCCACACATTCGGTTCTAGGCTCCGTCAGTGAGGGTGGAGTTTCTGATATAGTGTGTGACCCACTATGGAGATCAACCAACATTGAGTACTTCCACGTGAGCACAAATACTATACTAAAAGTAAATGTCTGGATGATGTTCCAGCCATCCCGCTCGGCCTTTAGATCGTTTTCAGACTCAATGCCACACAGCTGGAGCCTTGATGAAAAGGGAAAAAAAGTCGCTGCTGGCCGCGTTCCTCCTCAGCCTGCACGCATGCGGGTCAAGTCCGCTCACGCTTTCCCTGTTTTACACCAAGAATAACTCACTTCCTGCCTATAAACCCATCATGGATCTACCGTCAGGTCTTGATTTACACAGAAGCCTCTCAATTTGAAGCAGCCCCTCATTTCTCCGGTTTCACCACTGCCCAGATTGGCAGAGGTCAGGTGCTCCGGGGGGGGCAGCAGGATCAGTCATGGGGGGGAACCCCTTTTTGGCCTTTTGGCTTTGCTCCTTATTGGACAACACATGATTGCTGTGAAAGTATTTGTAAAAAAACTACTGAAGTATTTTCAGTGTGGGGAGAAGCAGCAGAGCGGCAGTAAAGCCCAATATAAACCTGATGTATGTAGAGAGGAAACCTCTTCAGGAGTATTACAAAATACATCTGGGTTGTTTCCAAGAAAACCACAGCAATTATGAATGTGAACTATATTTTCCGCTCACAAAAATATTTGCGTTTTGCATTACATAACACTTCTTAAGAGAAGAAAAAATCACCTGTTGAAAACCAAAACATGGGTCATTATGAGGACAGAGGTGCTATTACTCGGCTGTCTTTGTTAAAGCCAGGGAATGGAAAATGCTTAAAAATATATTTGCTGTCAGCCGTTTTTTTTTTGCCTTTTTATGAAACCATTTGAAAGACATAAATATTATTATTATTATTAACCAAAGTGAAAATATTCAAAAGATTTGATTCACTTCAGCAGTGTTAACAACTCACGCGCAACATTACGTGTTGTCAAGAATCAAAGAAGAGTCCAAGACGCCCAATTGCCTGATGATGAGCGTTTAGTCCTGGCCGTGTGTGTAGATGTTAGTGTGACATGTGAGTCATGTGGAGCGATAGGAACGAGGTCGGTTTAGTCGTCTCTGTGTGAGTGCTTCCATTCACTTCTATTTTTAAATGGCACTGGATTGAAGCAAGACTTCTCTGGACGCATCTCCTCTTACCTTCTGTTGTACGCGGTTCCCGCTCTTACCGTTCGAGTCGAAGGCCTGAACAAAAGCTCGAGGACACTGTGGCTGTGTGTGTCTACTTTGCTCGTGGGTGGAGGCTGCGCAAAGGCGGAGGTGTTGTCGGGAACAGAAGCATTTTGCAGATGTTGCAGGGAAGAAGAAGAAGAAGAGAATGGAAAGTCCTGCGGTTATCAGTCGTACGGCACTCGCTCTCTGACTCGCAGAGGTATTCTACATGTGGCCCCGTCCCAATTCCTGCCTCACTTTCACATTTTCTGTCTGATGAAGTAATTGTTGACAAGTTTTAGGGGGAACAAAAAGTGTCCGGGAGCTGCGAAAAGGTTAGAGAGACAGAGACAGAGAAGAAGTTAGACAGAGTGAACGCGAAAGGAGCGTTCGAAAAACATGTTTACTTGTGCAGGTTACGATTGACGTCGTGTTCTAAGGTTTCCCTCTTGGAGCGTGTCCCAGAGCGGAGGCGGGTGAGATTCCCTCTTGGTTCCCCTAGACGTAACATGAGGAACGCTCATCTCTGTTCGTCTCTGACCTTCCCTCTTGTCAAGTGCTCGCTTCTGATCGTCCTTCCACACTCTGAGCCGCTTCGCAAGCGTCACTGTGCGGCTCTCATTCTTTGTCGGTATCTCAATCGCCGGCCAAATACGCGATATAATTTCCGTGCCCCGCGGCAGTCCTATGGGGCCCCGCTTCGATTTCCCTGGTCACCCACATCCTCTCCGTCGCAGCGAGGCACAGTTCTCCACATGTCACTCTGCTTCCCCCAAGTTCAAATAGAAAACCCTTATCTGATCTGTTCAGCGTCTGCTTTCCCTGAGTTTTAATACGGCCATTTTGGAAAGAGATATCCAATGATGTTCACCCTCTGAATAGTAAAGCTGACCACGGTCCTCCACTGCCACAGCTCAGCAATAATAAACCAAACCGGGAGACCCTTTATTCTTTCACTCTCCGCTTGATGTGAAAAACAGAATTCTTTGCTGGGAGAGTTTTACATCTTCCAGAGCTGCTCGACGCCGCTATCAGTTCTTTGGAGACTTACTCTGATTATCTTATCCGATGGCTTCCTGTCCCAGAAGCAAAGCACGGCGTTTCAGCCTAAAGTCATGGCTGCCGCTGGCCCCAGCTAACGTACAGTAGCGCTGCCAAAGTGCCCGTATTACCTCACGTGGTGCGCCAGTGACACAAAGACTGTTCTGTTACTTCTAACAGCCCTAATGAGTCATCGGTTCAGAAAAAAAGGAAGAAAAAAAAAAAAGAAATGCAGTGTGGTCTGTGCTGATTGCCCAAGCAGAGCACCGAGAGTCTGTTTGCTAAGGTGTGGCAAGAAATCCCGGAGTAAACCCAAAGAATGTGAGCTGAGCTTCTGCAGACTTCCAACAGCTGCAGTACCTCACTGGCCTTTTATTGCATGGCAGCAAAGGGAACCTCCTTATCACGACTAGACGGAGATGAGAAGAAAGAGAACAAAAGCTGCTGTTTTTTCCTTTTTTTCCACACAGCGCAGTTAAGAATAGACGTAAGGAAGGAGAAGAGAAAGATATCTCATCGAGCATCGGAAATAGTGACAAATTCAACAGAGATCATGGGTGGTCCTATTTGAAGATATCGCCGTTTGATGCTTAACTTCATAATTATTTTCAAAAGTTTCAAAAACCTTCAACTACATTTTCCTTTTTTGGAAATTATAATTATTGGACCTAAAAGGTTATTTCTGTGTTTTTAGGATTAACCCTGGCAATAACAAAAAATGAAAATAATGTAGATATTTGACGAAAATAATACCACGGATGGATGTACATATAATCAATTTGAAAAAAAGCTTTTCTAAGACTTACCGGTAAGTTAGGAAATGCATTGGAGAAGTTAAAATGTTTCACATTTTTGCTTGATGTCTTTTATAAAATAACCATATTGACTATTTTATCAGCTAATTCTGTGCACTAAACAAGAGCACCCTTCACTGATGACAATTACTATATGCAGATAAAAGCCACCCCTCTAAGGTCTTGCTTGCTTGTGCCATGATACTAAATATTGTATTTTACTCTTTTGCCAATAGATGGGCATCATCTGTGGGAGACAGAAGCCAAAGTTGACAGGGACTCCGTCAAAAATGTAAGTGCACCTCGAGGACTCATTTGATACTGCGACTGTCTGCAGTCCCACCCTCCCATGACACGTTCACGCTTTCCTTTTTGTCTCATCCTCATCTGTGTCCCCTGCAATGATGTAATCTTTGCTCAGGCATTACAAGATGCAACGTAGAATATGCTGATTAGCCCATGCAATCCTGGATAGAATTTTCACAAAATCTCCATCCCCTAACGGAGTAAACACTGGCTGCATTGTTGTTTTTGCCTTTTGTAGGGATTACAAAAACACACACACACACACACACACAGACACACGCGCCACAGTCCTCCCAGAATAGCCAGACGATTATTTCACAGCAAAGCACTGTGGTGTGCTGAATTGGACTTGAACACCTCGTCTGTGCTGGGATCATGCAGCCAAGAGTTGATTACACCCCTGCGTTTACCTGCTGCTTTTCATGTGACCTGAAATGAGAAAATAACCCAGTCCAGTTGTTTCGCTGAAGCTTAGCCACACGTTCAGATTGTGTTACCATAAACCGGGGTGAGACGCAACGAAGCAAATGTTGTTCTACGTGTCCCAGAAGGTCGGTTGGGCTCTTGATTTAATTGAGACTTCACTGAGGTTAGTTATGGCTGTGCAGGATCTGCAAAAACGTGTTTTGCATTGCTGACACCTTTCATCAGCAGCATCTCATCCTTACCCCTCCAACTCCCCCCTTTATTTGTGTAAACTAACTGATGCAATTTTCACTCGCACAGGGTTTCAAATAAGCTCACATGCATCCAAATGCTGCAACTTCAGGGTGTTTTTTCCTTCTTGTTGTTGTTGCTATTTCACTCAGGTAAATTACTTTGGTTGCGTCAGGAGGGTAAATATGCACTGCGGTCTAATTGGCCTGTAGGGCTACTGATGTGCCACGGCTGGGCTCCCAGATGCTGAAAAATGAGCGGGCATGCAAGGCTCGGCCGGGGGCGGCGGTGCGGGTAGGCGAGGCTTGATGAAAGACAAATACTAATGCGTGTTTATTTGAGGCTCCAACAAACAAGCGGGGAGGGAAGGCGAGAGGGTTCTGGCCTTTCTCTTGTGTCAGTTGGCACCAGGCTACCCTAAAGTGCTCCAGACTGCCTGCCCAACAGTGTTTTTATTGCCATCCAGGGCGTGCTAATTTTCATTGGTTATGGAGAGAGAAAAGGCATGTGCACACTTCTACGCGCGCTCGGAACACGCTCAATCAGCCACCTGCATGTTCTCTTGGTCGTCATCTGGAGGGCAGACGGGCGGGGTTGAGGCCCGCAGAGTCCCTCACCTCCAACCCCCACCCCGCGGCTTCCCTCCATCCACAGCGATGACCTACTAAAAAGCTGCTTCCTGTCTTTCTAGTCTGTTTGGACCCCAACGAGAGTGACAGCCGTCCCAGGAATTAGACACTCAAACTCTGACAAATTCCCTCCATGTTCCCTTTTTTTTTTATAAAGACAGCAGTGAAAGTTCACATCCGTCCAGACTTGCCGAGGTCTGGCCTGGAGGGGTGGGGGGTGGGGGGGGGGGGGGGTACAGGCCAGCCTCTCCACAGGGAGGCATGGCTGTGCAAACAAATACGCCATGCAGTGCAAGGCCAAGCCCGGGCTCTTCCTCAGAGATAAACACGGGCACTGAACCGACCTCATGGGGCCTCCTGCTGCGGCTACACGGTCCAGACGAGCTCATTTACATCAGCTCCCGTCCAGCCTCCTGGAAACAGTACCCTAAATGTTAAATAAACATAGCCGTTGATTAATATGCTGCAGTCGGAGAGTGAAATCTGATGCGTATATATACGACTGACGAACGCACAGTTATTTTCATGATATCGGCAGCTGTTTCGCTTCATAAAGTTGAAATATCCTACGGTATCTCATTTGTATTTTAGAGTACTGTTGTTGCGGAGATCCCGCCGTACAGGAACCAGAGAATATCCAGCCCGGTGCAGGTGAACTTCTACGTCTGCAACGGCAAGAGGAAGAGGAGCCAGTACCAGCGCTTCACCTACCTGCCTCCTCACGGTAAACATCCCAAATATTGATTTGACTTCTTTTTTTCTTTTCTTTTTTAATTGAAAAATGTCACAAGCTGCACACTTTGCGTTCGTCACTTAGAGTGTTTGTCCAGACGTTGACATCCCTCCACCGTAGTTTATCGGCGGGCCGTCGAAGTGCCATACGAAGTCGGCGGGCCATTTTTTCTTGGCCGAAAGTTTTGAGACCTCGTGCCCGTCGCCGCTCGGCCGCATGGCCTGTGAGCGAGAGCAGAAGATGTGAGGTGTGTTTACTCTGCAATGAGACGGCGTTCCCCAGCGATGAGGCCTACCTGCTGAGTGACAGAGCCTCCGAGCGCTGCTGACGATGAGGAGTCAATCCCCCGACGACTTGACTTTCACACCCCGCCTCACAAAATGCCCCCTCTGACACAAGCACGCACACACACACACACACACACACGCACACACACATATGCATATGCACACACATGTGCATATACCATGCAGTGCTTTGCCCCGTCATTCATGTAGTAACCTGAAAACCCAGGAATACTTCTCTCTGTGTCCATCATGTGTCCCTGGCCTCAGTGTTTATAGATGGCTTTCACAGTGGAATTTGAAGAATGTGTTGCTGAGAGTTTGGAGAGTTCAGCCTCAAAATGGTCATTGAGAGCTATTGCCTTTTAGCAATGGGCGCAAGCAAACTATCAGCTTGTGTAGCACTCAGAACCATTTTGACTGGAATACGGTTTATATTTTATCTTTATCTGTTGACTATGCATGCTGGGTCTTCTTTTAGCAAAGCAAATCCATTGCTTCTGGCTTTCAAGCAGCGAGACTGAAGCAGTCGGGACATATTTACTGGCAACCGAACCACAGTTACTGAGGGCGGGTTTCCCACATTGTCCCGGCCTGTGTAGGGACTCCAACCAGAAACGAGACCTCCATCTTACTCTAGATAACCAGCAAAGATCCATTAGAATAAAACAATGTTACCTTGTATTCATTGATCAGTTATCTAATGGATCTAATGCTGCTGGAAGAGCATGCATTACTTTTTAAGTTAATACAATATGACATTTAGATTATCAGCAGATGTATTCATGGCCACAGGAGATAAGTGTGTTTGAGTTTTTAGACAATGCACCTGGAAGAAAGTCATGCATTCCCTATTTGGAAATGCCGGATTATATGAGCAAAACGTTCACTGCGGGTAAGTGGACCAGTGTGTCCTTGTATAGCGGATCAATTTTCACAAAATGTACTTCCGCGGGGGAAGAAAGGGAGAAAGAAGGGCGGAGCTGTAGAGGCTTATCAGCCTCTTCTAAGCATCTCTAAGTCATTTCCCAGAACATAAACACAGCTCTAATTAAAAGACGACTTGTTGTGTTCTGTCTTTTGTTGCCAAGTTAACCACAAGTACAGTGTGGACCACACAAGCAGGGCCAATGTCTTCGCAAAGGACACAAGCTATTGAGTTCTATTTTGAGATTTACACTCCAACCCTACATGTAAAAAATTATACAACATTTCTAAAACCAAATATTCTGTATTTCAATCAGAGGGTGAATGTAAAGAACAGCTTATAGGCAGACTACAGAGATAATGTCATAGGCAAAGAGAAAACCTCTGGGAGACAAAAGAAAAAGAAAGTATATGACATTATAAGAGATTTGAGAACAATAGTAATTATAATTGGATAATTAAAATATTGATACAGTTGCAAAAATGCTATTGACTGATCACTGCTATCCGATTAAAAAGCACTCTGTAATTCTGTGATATTAAAGATTAACATCATTGTCCCTTTTTGACAATGATAATTAATACATTCAAAGTTTCAATACAGCAGCAAAGAATGAGGAAATCCCAATGAAGCTGTTTGCTTTTGCAGCTTCCAGTGTTTCTTGTGTGTGTAAGTGTGTCAACACTGAGCAAAACAACCAGCACAGTGGCCAGGTACTCGGGGTGGGCTAGGACGAAAACGCCCCCACACACACACACTTACACATACACACACACACACACACACACACACACACACACTCACACACTGTTGTCAACACCTTTTTTTTTTGTTGGCTCGTATGAAAAGACTCTTCCGGCCCGCTGTCCCACTTTATGAGCAGTTGTGGCCTCTGACGTTGTTTAGAGAGAACATTTCTTTCACACTCTTCTATAAAAAGGCAAAGCCGACCCTTTACATAGCCTGACTCGTTTGAAACAGCGGAAGGATGAAGCAAACACTTGTGATGCTCGTGAAAACCACCTCTATTTTCCATTGAGGACATGTGACCATCTTGTGTTTTTTTTTTAATACAAATGCAGTTGAAACCTACTGTTCCTGAACACTGAAGCCGAGTTTCACTATGATGTGTCAGCTCAACTGAGAATATTACTTGTGAGCAGATCCTCATCTTCTCCTCGACCTCGCCCTGCCTCCAAAACGTCAAACTATAACGTCTTATCAGAGGCCGTGCGTAACGACGAGTCATTACTGCTCTCACTCTCGCTGACAGACAAAGACGGGCCTCAGTGATATGATTAGAGGGATGCTGTTGACCTGTTGATGCATCGTCATTGGGTATGTTAAAGCAGAAACAGCTTCTTCAAAATGTGTGTTTAACGCTGCGCAGTGTGCCAGAGAGCATGTGGGTCAGGTGTCTTAATGCCCTTCAGCCGTTAGCGTTCCACAAAGGTCAATAAAAACTGTGTAATCCTAATTTATTTAAGCAAAATGCGTGAAAACCACAAAATGTGCTCACAAGTTGTTGAACGTGGGGTACAGCTGCGTTCAGCAGATGAGTCGCGGAGACATTTACTGTTGATTAACACGGCCTGCTTGTCCTTGAGGCAGAGGCCGGCGTCCCTGTCTGGCTCCCGGAATGAGCCCCTCTTTTCCAAGCTCACTTCCAATAACGATTGCGTGAGTGGAGACGTGACGTGTCGCTTTTCGAATAAGAAAAACATTTGGCACCAACCACATTGGACGAGAATCGGCACAAAGTAAAAAAAAAAAAAGTCCTGGCACCGACCGAACGCATGAGCGAAGAACTTCTCGGAACCCCTTTATTTTTAAAGGCCGTCCGGAGATTCCTCTGTAATATGGAGTTCTATTCTTAACGCAAACGCGTGCCGGCTCTTTCCGCTGGTTTGTGGTTGGAGCTGGAACCCCAGGAACATGTTCTATGACACTTACAGGAAAAGTTAAATGAACCACACATTGTTTTGTTTTTTTGTAAATGTTTGCACAATCATGTTTTTTTTCCCCCCACCCAAAAAAACCCAGACAAAGGCTGAACTGTTTCTGTCATGTCTACGCCTTTGTGCTCTGTCAGACATACCTACAGCACACTAAGGCCAAAGAACTACCACCTGCTCCGCGTTAAACGTCACCAGCGGATTCAGCGCGGCCACAGTGGTCCGGCCGCGTTCGCATCGCAACCGACTCGTTTGATTGTCCGATGGCTACAAGTAGACAAGGTCTACATCATCTTCCTAATCAAATACGCCGAAACGCACATCTACGGCCCCCCAATTTCTATTCCCTTTGAGAGGTAAACGAGTGCTCAATAAAATACCCAGATCCTACATGATCAGTTTAATGCGAGCAGACAGATGGAGAGAAAACCATGTGCGCCACATCAACTGTCTGTGGGCCGTAACCCACAGGTTGGGAGGAAATAGAAGCCAGCTGATGTTGGGACGGGCTTGGTGAATCTGTTTTCTCAGCTCTCACACAAAGTGGAAAGGAGACACACAGATGGGTGGAGAGACCTCTGTCTATATGTGTAGCAAAGGGGGGGGGGGGGGTGTTTGAAAGTTAAAAGAAGGGCTATTAGTCCCTACATGATTTGATTTCCTGTTTCGCCAGTCGCCAGTCTCGCTCAAAGTCAGAGGGAATACAGGAAAATAATGTTGACAAACGACCTCACTCGAAATGAAAACGGCAATACACCCAACTGGACTTTTAAAATACACTTTAAACTTTAACTGGATTACAAGTGGGGCTGCAAAGGTCGACAGTCACCCATCTCTTCTGAGATACTGCTGATTCCCCTAAATTCAATTCTCATGTTTGTTTCAGTCAAAGGGAGGACATCTTGTGACATGAATAGTTTAATCTTAAGAAGGGCCTCTAGAGTAAGATACAGACTCTTAACGCCATAGGCAATCTGCCTCTTTCATCCCTTTTTTTTCTATTGGTGTAAATCATCATTAACCACGAGGACTGGTAACCATGACGTTTTTATGGTTATTACAATATTTTCACTCTGCAACTGGGGCATCTCACCTCTTGACTCCATGGCCTTGTGCCATCCATTGACACACAAAAAAAAACTGAAGGCATGGAGGCAACAGAGAATCACTGAGGCTGTGGGTGTAGCGTGAGCCATGTGACTTGGCTGTTACCCCCCAAGCGTATCATGGGACTCGCACTACGATGCTGCCCCAGATACCTGACCCGGTCCCTGGGCTCTGACAGCAGACAGGGCCGACGTAAATGTGCTCCCGGCTTTAGTTATCATGGCGCAGCATCTCAGCGCCCTCAGAGGCCACGAGCGTGATTAATGCCAATGCAGCTCCCACCGATGAATAATTGACAAAGAAAAACATTGCTTTTGACTGTTCAATTTTGCGAACATATAGTTTAGACAGGCATGTATTCACACGTATGTACGCCTATGAGGAAACGTCACTTGGAACCGGGAACTCTTAATTGTTGGCGTCAGACGCCCTCCACGCCCATTAACGCATTTTAACAATGTGTAGAAATAGAAACAGTGTGTCCATTGTGACTCGGAGGCCTTTGCTATGCGTCCGGGTGTCTCAACGCTCTGGCTCATTCTGTCTATATGTACTTATGGAATAAATCAGCAGCGAGCTTGTCAACGTGGCTCCCTCTCCCTCTCTCAGCCCAGGTCGTATCATTCTGTTGTGAAATTTCTCAATTAATAGAACGCTGTTTTGGATAACTGCATTTGACGGCAAACAGGAAGCATGCGATACCTGTCCGTCAAAAGCAATCAGGAAACGGTGCAGACGATCTGCACTGGATTAGAGATTAGGAGAGAAGAGGCAGGATGATAAAGTGTGGCCACTGCACTCTCCTCCATTAGCCGGGGCCTGAAGCTCCTGAAACCACAGGCGCAACTCCATAGCCTCTTAAGGAGCTCAGGCGGCCTAATCAAAATCAAATCATCTCCCTTTTTCACCCTCTCCCTCTATGTTTTGGTCCTGAGAGAAACAATTACTTGTAGAGTGTGGAGGAAACCTTGGGGTCCGGGGCTCCTTGAGCAGCAGCAGCAACAACAGCAGCAGCAGCAGCCCAGTCCTTTAAAGTTGTCTTTTATTGGATATCAGAGCTGGAGGAGAGTCCAAAGAAAATAGGCCGTATTCGTTATTAGAGCCAGCTGTGGCTTTCCACACTGATGACTCATCCATTTTTCTTTCCCCCCTATTCTTTTGCTCTTTTTTTTTTTTCAAGGCGCGGTAGAGAGGGGTCTCTATTAGAGAGCCCAGCCAAGTTGACACCGAGCCCGTAGCCACTGGTGGTTGTTTGTTTGGATTATGGAGGGTATCGCTGCCACAACTGTGCTTTGCTCACTGCTTTACTCAGCCTCACTTGTGCGCTCAATGCGCCACGTGGATTCCCTGCACATTTTTTTTTTTTTTTAATATCTCCACCTTTCTTTCTACTTTTTTCCCCCCAGCACCGATAATAAAGACAGAACCCAATGATGAATATGATTCTCTGGGGATTGCGAGACTGCCCATGCATTCAAAGCCCTATTACAGCCGGCCCAGACTCACTCCCGTCATGCCTGTAGCCGATCCCGATGCCTGCCTGGTTGGTGGCTACCCTCCCTGCCCGCCTCGCCATGCTGCCATGCCGTCGTCGTCCCCCAGCTCCAGCCCCACCCTGCATGACCTGTCCCCCGTGGCATACAGCAAGTGCCTCCCCAACAGCCCCACCCATGCGGCACAGCCAGGCCCTGCGGTGCCCCCCATCCAGGTGACCCCTGGCCACCCCAACCTCACCCACCCAGCATCGCCAGACCACAGCTCACCCCTAGGGGTGCTTCATTCCCAAGGCAGCCCCATCCACCTCAACAGCCCGGGGCCCCACGGTTACCATCCTATCTATGCCAACAGCAGTCCCTCATCCTCCCCGGTTTCCCACCCCTCCACCCCTGGGGGGACTGCGGAGAGTGCGTTCGTTCAGGCCTACAGCCCCGGTCCGGCTCAGGCGGCACCCGGCTCAGCCCCGACCGGAAGGAGGTCACCCGGCCTGTTACCCGAAGATGCCCGCCCCCCTTCGATGGGCATCACCGTCAAACAGGAACCCCAGGAACTGGACCAGATGTACCTAGATGATGGTGAGTCGAACAAAAGTGACGTTGTGAAGTGAAGTTTCCATTTGATAACAGTTTGACTAACGGGAGGCATTTTGTTTTTCACTATGAAAGCATCTCCTAATGAGCTCTCTGTCCATGCCAGAGAAATGGCTGTTTACATTGAATTTATTTAACACCTCTTGCTTATCTGCAATCCCCCACACATGGCCGCACCCTGCTGGACCCGTCACTATTTCCTGATAGAATTCTGGCAGCAGATGTACGTCCCATTTGTTTAATTTTAGACCGTGGCAGATTTATTTGCTTTCGGTGAAACATGCGGTCCGGCTTATGTTGTCCAAGTGGCTGCTTCACTGTGAAACGGTGAATTGCCTTGATGGGATTTTGAAACAATCTGTCAAAACACGAGAAGAGTGAGGTCAGTCGGGGGAGCAGCAGAACTAAAACAGTGGCACACGCGTAGCCAACCAAACTGTTGACACAAGGACTAATGAAGGAAGCAAAACAATAGGTAGGGGTTTCCTGAGCCGAGCCATTTTTTTTCTCTCCTCCCCCATCGCTCTGGGAGTGATGCTGGGGGCCGGAAGGCAAAGGCTTTGTTTTCCCGTCTTTTCCCCATGGAGTCGACACCATGCGGCTGTCGTCATCAGGGGAGGCTGCGGGGTCACTGGTCTCCCTCTGGCAATGAAACCAGCCACACCCCAGGGACCACCGCGTGGTGGGGTTTACTGCCTCCCGTGTCCATCTCACATGGTGTCTCTCAGGTCACTAACCTGTTATCTTTGTTAGCAGAGGCTCCACTTGTTGTTGTGACACACATTCGTGGAGCACATCAATGGCGTTTGAAATGTTAACCCTCCTCCCACTGAACTCAGGAATATCAGCCTTCCTGTCCAACTTTTTTTCAGAAAACCGATGTTGAGTGTGAGTGTGTGCACACTTCAATCAACAGCTGTGGAAGTGGAGGAGTGATAGGCACGAGGGGACAACGGGAGTTTTGCTGTGGAACTGTAATTGAGTTGAAATGTAGCTGTCAGCATATCTGTCAGTCGCGATAAGTCCCATTAGTCCTCACCACATAAACAGACGACACAGAGACAGGGGGGATGCCTGTCTGTTGTCAGCCCTATAACCTGATTTCCAACTTTTCTTTTCTCTCTCCTGCTTTTCTCCCCCTTTCGTTTCCTTGAGTTTGTGGAAATGTTCTGCAAATCTAATTTGAAACAAATTTGAATTTTGGACTGTTTTCAATAGTTATGGCAGGCAGAAGCTTTCATTTCAGCTTTGATTGGATGAAGTGAAACTGTAGCTTCATTTTGCATTTTGTAACAAGGTTGGGAGGAGGTCCTTTTACACCAACACTACGCAAATACACCAAATGTACACAGCCATGCCACGGTGAACTCACGTAATCTTGTTTCTCACCCCAACTACTCCGTTCGCTGTCACTTTAGCAGGTCCAATCGCCCTCCAACCCCGGTGGCCAGATGTATTCAGCCAGCGATTACAGTTGCATTAGGGACGTGCAGGAATGCGTATTGATTGACCAAGGACAGGAGAAGCAGCTTCTTGAAAAACCTCAGTGCGCTGCGTCTGCCCGAGCATCTGTGGTGAGCCTGCGAAGGCCCTGTAAGTGTGCGGTGGTAACAGCACACTCCAAAGGCATCTGCTGCTCGCAGGCCCGGCCCGGCCCTAACCGAAACCCCTCGAACGAGCCCTAAGCTAAAATAAATAAGATCGGAAGGCAGCTTGCAGGGCGTCCGTCTCCCTGTCCACACGCATTACCAGCGTATGTTAGCGAGCTGAGCGCTCCATTAGAGGGGGGGGGGGAGACAAGTGGATGACCTCACCACAGCGGCAGTGATTTAACGCCAGCAACGTAGACCAGCGTCGCTCCCCGGCAATTGGGGCCGTGGGGGGGTTGGGGGGGGTTAGGATGGGGGGGGTGGTGATTTGGAGTCTGCTGGAGCACACTTGATCTTCCCCAAGAGCGGAGCGCCTCCCACGCTCGAACGCCGAGGCCTCCGGCTCTCATCAGCCAGAGGAAATGTGTCTCTCCGGCCAGGCTCACATTTTACACAGCCCATGAGAAATCACTCAACTTATCAACGGTGAGCTACTGTACCACAAGGAGCTTGGTTAGCATGGAGGGAGTCTGGGATTTGAACCCTCCCCCCCGAGTGCCGTACACAGTCTCCCATTGTAATCTGCTAAACTCTTCCCTCTGCTGCGATAGAAGCTTACTCGCTACGTTGCAAGACACAAGGCAACGATTTGGTTGTCTGCAATGAGATTTTATGGGAAGAATCCAGTTGGCAGTCAGATGTACAACGTTGATTTCACTCAGCGCCATGTTGGCTGTTACCTGTTTGAGTCCTCATTGGAAAAGCAGCAGATTTACGAAATGGAAGCAAGTTGAAAATGAAACACCGAACACTCCTGGAGGAGTCGAGTACCGACGCATAGTGCGACTCAAATAAGGCAGGACATTTTTATTTTGCGTACTTGAGTATCTCTGCATCACTGTGAGGAAAGAGGATAGTTTATAAAAAAAACAGGGTCTAATTAGACCTAAAAAACAACCTTTTCTCAAACAGCCACTGGCGCACACGTCCATTCACAAACACACGCACAAACACGCCTGGACACCTTTTGATCGTGGCCTCACATCACGCGTCGAAGGCCCTTCGCTCGGAGCTCATACCCCGGGTGTTTGCGTGTGTTTTGCTGCAGATGTGCGCGTGTGTGTAGAGCAGTAAGCGGTGCGCTGGCTGTGCTAGCAGTTTGCTCCTGTGAGGCCGCGTGTCCCGTCTGATTAGCCGCCGCCGCGACGGGTGATATCCTGAAGTGCAGCTGAACGCGGCACCCAGCAAATGAGCTTGTGTTAATCAGGAGGGCCAGATTTCTACCAGCTGCCTCCCCATGAAACAGAGGGCCCTTATTCCCCCAAAATAAGAAAAACACGGAGCGCAAACGCAGCCTCTGTGGATTTTTTGACATTTGACATATGTGCTCTGATTGCCTCGCGTTACTGGCTAGTTTTCCTTGTGATTGTTTCCTCCCCAATTCAAAGTTGATCCGTTTGGAACCCTACTAGGCTTGTTTTTCTCAAAATGAAAACAGAATTGTTGTCGGCCCTCCTTTCCGCCTTCCCGCCGGCCTGCCACTTAAATAATTAAAAAAAAAAGGCATTCTGGCCTTCCTGAGGATCTCCGTCCACCACCGATGCCTCCGAACGCAACTCAAGGCTTTCCTCATGGAAATTTTAACACATTCTGGCACGTTTCCCAGACCCCAGGACTCCGCAAAAACCCCTAATGATGATTGAGAGCGCGTCCGCACCGCGCTGAAAACATGCTGAGTCGCTAACATTGGAGCGTGCCGCAAGGCTGCCGCTGGGATTGGGAGAGGGTCAGAGGACAGGCAGAGGATTTTTTTTGGGGGGGGTGGAAGTGCGTGCGGTGTTCATTAAAGTGGAGGTTGAAGTGTCTAATGGGACTCACCGAAGCAGTGAGCTGCTCCTGTACCTTTAGACGGTATGTGTTTGCGTTTCTCGTGTCTCTTTTAGTTAATAGGATCGGGGCGATGGGGAAGTGCTGACTGCCGGTGCTTTCACAACACTCCACCTCTGACCCCCACCTGGCCTTTTAGGAGCAGGTCAATCTCAAGCTAAGAGTGCACAGAAAGAAAGGATGTCTTGTAGTTAAGTGCAATGCTAAGAACACAGTCTCCTTCTAGACATATTGATATTGACGGCTGCAAGAAGAAGGGTGATGGCTTTTTTATTATTTATGACTGGAGGATGTGTTGTTGTTGTTTTTTTACTCTTGTCACTGCTTGCATTCTCAAAGTATTTCCTGTTTGCACACAGCGAGGTGTAAGTTAAATTTAGAGCTTTGCTGTTTTTATAGGCATAGTAAAAAATAGTAGGTGGCCTTTTAAGACATGTACCACCTTAAATTGTTTGCATTATATTTTGTATAATCGCAAATTACAAATTTGCCTGAGAAGGCTTTACAGACTGAACACATACGACACCCCCTCTTAAAAAGGCACAGGAAATAATGGAAACCCCTTTGATGGGGAGAACAACTACAGTTTTTGGATCAGCAATAGATTTGATTCAATTTCTTCTCATTAATATCCAAAACCATTACTTTCACTCTGCAAGTAGAGGCGCAAAGGCTGTTACCATTGTCGGATGTTAAGGTCCTCACCAAATACTCAAACTCATGTGCTCAGTAGCAAACGTGAAGCTATTTCTTGTCCTGAGTTAGAGTTAGCGCTGTGGCTCATAAAGCATACCGTACAAATCTTACAAAGTGCTGCACACTTTTGATTGTGAACGCAGGCAACTGTCTGCTTAAACATGACCTTATATTGTAGTATAAAGCATTGTGGTGTGGGAGTCACAATGGAAGTGCAGTAACGTAAGCCAGAGAAGGCCATGACGTGTGTGCAGTAGAAGAGGAACAGCTTCACAGTTAAGTGGAAGTCCTTTGGATTACCTTCGTACCCTCTGTTTCTTTTTACATCTCTTTTATCTCTGTCCCATTGGCTCAACATGAGAGCCTTTACATTCCAGGTTTTGATCACTTTTTCATTGTTCTTGAAACACATATTACAAAACCCTCTCAATTATAGACACTATTGTCTAAGATTGCTTGCAGTTAAGCAAATAATTGAGTCTAAGTGGTTACACATGACGGTGACAACGGGACGCTTTGGTTTTTATATCTTTTTAAAACCATTGGGGATATTATTAGTTGATAAGCACAGCAAGATGAATCTGTAAGAGTTCAGTCCATTAGTTACCGCAGCGCGCTGGCTCTTATGTGTGTTCGTGCTAGCCAGGAGGATCTGGTCTGGTTTCAGTCGCTCTGTCATAATATCCACAGTCACTGAGAAAGAATGTGTCTGCTGAAAACTTCAGCTAAATAATCTAAACAAATTGGGTTTCCTTTGTGTCTAGGGTCTGAAACACGCACGCATTTATGTGTGAGACTTTTGATTTTGAATGG